CCCCCCCCCCCCCCTCCCCACCCCGCCCCCTTATCTCAAGGCGCTGTGAAGTAGTACGCTACATAAGGTTTCGGTGATCACTTACGCCAGCAGGAGCCAATTAGTAACCGTGACCTGATGGCAGGCATTCGGTTATGGCGACATTCGGACCACAGTGAACTCTGCCAGTTTCAGCTGTTTTATTCAAGAGTATTAATATTGGAAGAGAAATTTATTGCTTAAAATTTCCGTCTTATATAACGAGCAGAACCATGTCGCCGTATACCCTGAGTTACGTCGCAGACAATAGGTGGTTTTACTTGTATAGGTAAAAGCGACCTGTCCCTTCCATAGATGCTTAGTGGGGGAGTCATTTGCTAGTCTGATGAGTGTCGGTGTATTCTCCAGAGTCAGCTCCCTGTCGGGAACATGAACATGTTGCAAGGCTCGAAAGCAATTTTATGTCCTTACTTCTGCTTCGTTGGGTTTAGTTGCGTAACCTCCAGTATGTACGAACGAATGAGACATCCCAGCCTCCAGCTGTTGCTGCTGAAGGGTACCGGTGACAATCCCCCCAGGGGAGGTAGCTTGAGCAATCAGTTGCTGACCCCCTGCTGCACCAGAGACTGGCATTAGCACCATCGGTTGATGGTAACCCTGTGCTGCAGCACCGCTGGCGCCTGCTTGCATTGCCTGCATTGGAATAGCCACAGGAACACCTCCCGCGGACATGACGTAACCGCTAGCTGGGTAACCGTACATCTGCTGGTCTACCTGTAATAATTTAACATATTACGAAAATTATTCTGGCATATACACATGTACTGTAGATCTACTATGGGTACAAAATTTTACTACTTTTTAAAAAGCATAAATTAAACTACATCGAAGGCTTTTGAAAAACCCTTGTCCCTTTTTTTCCCCATATTTTTATGGTTGTTGTTACTTTTTTCAGGCATTTCACTCACACAACGTACTCACGACGCAAACTCAATGCAATAAAATAGTGAAGAACAGAAGTAGAGTTATGAGAGAAGAATAAAAAAGCTAAAATTGCAGTGTCTTATTCAGGGCCCTCGCTTACGGTTACAGTGATTACATCAGACAGCCTCACAGCAGCGATAGCCTGCCTGGAATTTTATTATTTTAAATATGTGAATTCCAGTGGTAATGTATTAGTATAGGTAATAGCATGCTTTGTAGTGATATTTGGCATAAATACCACGAGTGATATTTTGAAATTGTTACGCGTAATTGAGACAATTTTGAAATATCACAAGTGGAATTTGTGCCTAATATCACGTACAAATCATGTTATTAATTGTTTATATACTACTACCCGTGGAAGGTTTGCAATTTTCACATGTAGGTATTTCAAATTAAGGTGACCACTGCTCTAAGCCAACCAAATTGCAGAAATTTCTCATGTAGTAGTATAATGGCGCGAAATTTCAGCGTTAATTTGTCATTTCACATGTGAAATTACAAAATTACCATGGCAACATTCCGTACGTCTCAGTGTCAAGATGGCGACGAGGTTTTAAAATGCCGTGAATAAAGATGTCAGGGCACAAAAAGACGCTTTAGAAAACCTGAACACCCAAATAGCACATCAAGAAGGATTTTAACAGGTATTTTGTCAAAAAAGTTTGAAAATTCTGAACTTAAGCCAAATTTAAGGTCTAAACTTTTGAGAGAGTGGAGTCTTCGATCGATACGATCCAGGATAAACATGTCAAAAATTCACGACTGCGACGTAATTCGTCACCCATGATGATATTAATAGGTAATCAAATGGTATACTCGTGAAATTAGGGAATAATTTCACTTGCGTTTTGTCCAAATCCTACTGATAATTCCCCGAGACTTTAAGCGAGGGAAATTATTAGGATTTGGACAAAACGCAAGTTAAATTATTCCGTAATCTTACTCGTCACCATTTGATTACACATACAAATATCACGTACAAATCGTGCTATTATTTGTTTATACTACTACCCACATAAGGTTTGTAAATTTGACATGTAGGTATTTTAAATTAAGCTGAAAAACCAATGCTCAAAGCCAATTAAATTGCAGAAATTTCTCATGTAGTGGTAGAATACCGTCAACGCGGTCGCTTGTAGGCACCCCCCACACTTATAAGCCTAACCGATCCAGGTATAGCCCAAGCTACCTGTCTGCACAAAAAAATACATCTGATTATAAGCCACCCCGATTCGAAATTCCATTTATTATGACGTTTAAGGTAAGCCTTATCAAAAGCCGGTAAATGCAAAATGGATTTTGAGCAACACTGCTACGCTTTTTATAGTCCGGTTTAAATAAGCCCCCTCGGATATAAGCCCCGAGCCACAATCATGATAAGCTCTATTCCAAGGGCTCTTAAGCGGCAGGAGATCAGAATTGTCATCAATGCCGACTTTAAAAACTCGTAGATTGAAACGTACGTATTTAACATTAGCTCCTCAGCATGTCAGAATATCTCACATCATATTTTGAGGTTGTCGAAGATGTCCCAACTTTCATACCGTTGGTGGGTTATTTTAAATTATGGCTGGAGGCTTTTTTGCTAGCAAACACGATGAGGTACAGCTCCTGACTTGACATGAAGTAGAAAGGTGAAGTGAATTAACTTACCTGCGGCTGTCCGCAGCAATCGCATGGCTTCATCAAACAGGTGCAAATTGCTGCCCAGATTCCAGCACCGAATGTAACAATGCCCAAGACAAGCATAATGGCAAGAATGGCCATTTTCCCACGATAGTTGTAATAATATCGCCCATAATAACCGTAGTTGTAATAATCGTAATCGTCGTAGTAATGATATCTTCTGAGCTCAGAAATCGCAATACTGTAACATATGATGATAACTCCTCCCAATACAGCCGAGGTAATCGAAAACCCCATGAAAACACCAGCCTGAGAGATTAATAAATTCAAACAAACAACATTCAACACACAACAAGGTCGTTCATCCTCATCTGCACAAAGTACGATACTTGGAAGGCAGGGTCAATAACAAAAAATCTTATCAATTAGAACGACCATAAAAACGATTAAAATCTGATCCCTTTTTTCGCCTGCAATAAACTATCGGATGAGGTTTTTGTGATAGCCGGAATAATCAAGGTCGAGGTAAGTGTTATCAGCCCAGCCGAAGGTCGGGGCCGAGACCTTGATTGTTCTGGAAATCACAAAAACCGAATCTAATAATTGTTTTATTATACATTGTTTTGAAGAAAATAAAGACAAAAACAGCATCACATGTACCCTACGAGCAGAGGCTACATTTTCGCTTTTTCTGCTCGCAGACGTTCTTGTTCTGTTTCAGGTGTTCAGATGGTGGCAAGCGAGGTAAGCTACGAAGAACACTATTTTAATCGGCCGTGAATTTGGCCTGTATTTATAGGCAAATGGCGATAATTTATTTGGGAAACCGTGCTGAATTACACGTGAAGCTACGCCTTACTTACGAAAGCATCGCGGGAACTGGTTCTTTCTCTGGCACTTCCGGGTATTCCCAGACCCCCTGTGATGCACATCTGCAATGACAATATTGAACGGCACTTATTCAAGGTAAGCATCTTATTTTTGTGCAATTATGTTCAACGTTTCGTGAAACCTATCAATGAACACAACTCATGCGGAGCATACGACTGAGGGACTTTTAATGACTGAACATATATATATATAGCACTGCGTGCCTTGTGGATCATGAATAGGTGCATGCAATTGCTTTCGGGTCAATTTAGGTCTCTGGGAAACTGCCCACCTACCCCTCCCCAAAGCTAACATTAACACTTACTTCTCACTTAGGGCAAAATGATGGCTTAAGGGAGGGGTAGGTGGACAGTTTCCCAGAAGGCTAAATTGATCCTTTATTTCGATCCTTCCAACCTCTCATGTTCTCGGCAGAGATGCTATCGTGACACTCTCGAAAGAGACCACTATAATCTTAGCATTTGAGAGGCCACTTTTATACGGCAGATAAATGTAAAATCGGGATATTTTTTTTAATGATCGACGAATCAAGGGAGCGCCGGCATGCGTCAGCGGCCAGGGGGTTCTGATGGCTGCATGCATGTTCCCCCAGAAAGAGTTTAAGCTCTTGATGTTCTGGAACGCCATTTCTAGTGATCTGGGAGGACAATTTCTGTCTTAGCATGTCTTAGGGTTAAATTCCACTGTCGACAACAGATCGGGATCATTGGACAGTATACAAAAACTAAATATTACTTCGGTTCCTTTAGCAAGTGGCATAATAAATTCCTTGTCTTAATTTTTTAGCAGATTTATTGTTTCCAACACGTTCGTCTATGTTATTTTCAACGTGCAAAAACACCTTCGTACCGGACTTTGTTGAGTAGCTTGCCTTAGTTGTGATCCTTGTCATATAAATTATCGAATTGATTGAGTTTGCTGACGCCTTCTGACATAGTGTGAATGTCTGTTTTGATCCCTCTGTAAGTTGTGTTGGTCTCATAAAAGAGCAGAAATGGAAACAGGAAATACTCAACGAAATAATTATGACAAGTTGTTCAATGCTCAATTTCGTGGGCTTGACAAATGGCTTTGAAATAGACAGGTTCTTTTGCCGCAGGTGTCGCAGGTGAAATTTAGACTCTTTTAAAAGACCTTTGTTTGTCGCTCGTTTCGTCGTATTTTACACGACTTTTGTATCGAATTAGTAATAAAAATAGTGTAGAAGCTTTAGGATCAGTTTGGTACATTTTTCAAGCTGATACAGTTAAGTCGTAGAATATATTTACTTGCGTCTATCCTACTTCCTTTAAGACCGTGTTTGAAGATTTAAAATTGTTATCTTCTTGAAGTGAGAACATTTGCTTACCCATATTCCGATCCAAATGCCGAAGTATACGTAGCCTGTCCAGTCATAATGATAATAATGGTAGTATCCCCTTCCTTTAACAAGTCGATCGGCGGTGCCAAAACCGAGAAGTAAAACCCCAGTTACAATTTGAATGATGGCAAGAAACCTTGCCATTTTGGCAGCGTTCGTAGAGTTGCCCGCCATGTCATCTCAAGTCTAACACGGAAATCATAAAGATGCATAATTTAATACTTTGTTGTGTGATGAATGACACAGACTATGACGAACTGAATTATGAAGAAGTTCGTCACACAATCTTCAGTCCAGTTTAGAGAATATGACGGACGTGATGATTTGGCGAAGTTCAAACCTGTTTGAACTTTCCTAAATCATCACGTCGGCAACAAGACAGTCGCAATTCGATAGGTCTATATTATAGGTTCATACTAGTACCTTAAGATAAGATCTATAGAGTTTCGATATATTGTCTTCTTGCGTCTTGGTTCTGTTTTAAGACCTTTACAGGGTCCAAAGTCGAGCTGCTTTTTTCGGGATGCGGGATTTGCCTTATTTGGAGGCCGGGATTCGGAAACAGAGCTTGATTCAACATTGAAAGGATGCATGGGGTGGGGGATGTCGAAAATACATCGGGATTAAGGGATTGCGGAAAAATTGAGTCGGTGTGACGGGTTTGAAGAACCGTATTGGGGATCTTAGTGTTCACTTAATAGTGAGACATAACCATACCAAACAAGCCAAAAATATACAACGAATTTTAATCGTTTAAAGTTGTTTCANTTTTGCCGTGAGGTTCTTGGTTTTGCCGTGAGGTATTTTGTTTTTGCCGTGAGGTTTTTGGTTTTGCCGTGAGGTATTTTGTTTTTGCCGTGAGGTTTTTGGTTTTGCCGTGAGGTATTTTGTTTTTGCCGTGAGGTTTTTGGTTTTGCCGAGAGGTATTTTGTTTTTGCCGTGAGGTTTTTGGTTTTGCCGTGACAGTTGTGGGCCACCATACCAAACAACCCAAAAATATACAACGAATTTTAATCGTTTAAAGTTGTTTCAGTGGACTGAAGCAGTGTTGATCCCGTCATTTCCACACTTACCCTCGAGGTCTCTTTTTTTTGGCAATCGTTTGAACATTTTAATAGAAAGGAAGAACATTCCGTCACATACGTTTTTAAAGACTTTATTTAGTCATTCATTTATACCTCTTGAGCATCTAGTCGAGATACCACAGTTTAGACGCGATTAGCTTTGCATATCAATTTTAATCATGTTTCTGCTCTTTGCAAGAATAAAGTGACGCTACACGCAAAGAGGTTACAGTTAGCTGATAAGACAGTTGGGCGCCTCCAGAACGTATTGTTACTTAAGATCTGTAGACAATCATAAAATGATACTTTTCTTCTCAACTTTGTGTAGCACCGTGTAACCTTAGTTTGTGCTATACTTAAGAGTTTCTAAAATTGGAACTTATTTCAATCTGATCTATTTCATGTTTCCCATAAATGTTTTCAAACACACTGCAACAAAGATACAATGCGTTAACCCTTTAAGCCCTAAGAGTGATCATGCAGCGTCAAATTTCTCCTTGTAATATCACTACTTTATAAAACAGAGTGGTCATGACAATTTAGGACAAGATCACACAAGACTGAATCTAATTGATACTTCAACAAATTCTCCCCACTACTTCTATCGAAAACGTATAGGGATAACAAATGAGACTTTGAATTTTGATGCTAGGATTTAAAGGGTTAGAAAACAACGACAGCAAATCGAATGTTTTTAATATTAATAATATTTTTCGCTTTTTTTTCTTTGTTTTTTTTTGTAGCTATAGTTACTTAAAGCATTAATTTATCATGATTACACCAATATGAAATGCACCAGGTTCGTCTAGAGCTTCACTTGTAGCTATAAAGGAAAGGAAAGAAGACAAGTGTTAGATGCATAATTTATGAATTTATAGAGGTGTATGTTTGACTGGTCAACTAATGTCGACTCGACTATCTAAAAAGTCAGGTAATGACCTACATAAGGTTTCGTGATCATGTCATGTACAGAAAGGGGTGGTATTACGAGAGTCGGATAGCAGGGGTCTCTTCCAGGGATATGCCTGTTTTTGTAATCATCATCATCATCATCATCACCATCAGTATCATCATCATCATCATCACCATCATCATCATCATCATCACCATCACCATCTTCATCAACATCATTATCATCATCATCATCAACAGCATCGTCATCATTATCATCATTATCATCATGCTATCCCATCGTTATCGTTTAATTTTGTCAGTCTGAGTGTTATTCGTGAACCTACTAATTAAGTCACGTGTTGTTGGGTAGCATTTTCACTCTTAACACGCGCAAAGCTAGGCTCGATTTTCGCCATCCCAAACGGAAGCTGGTAATTCAGCCTAGTGGAAAGCCTAGGAAAACATGTGGTAAAAGCTCCATCACAGCTAAATGCTTCCTCGGTTTCACTCAGTGGATGTTCTCGTCTCGCGACATGTTCGCTTAGTTTTGCATTACCCCCACCCTACCATAGAGAGTATCAGACAAACCTGCTCGTCGTGCAGTGCAACGTAACCTCCACGTGTGAACGAAGGAGCCTCCTGCTGCTGCTGTAGGGCATCTGTAGCCATCCCTTCAGGTGAGGCAGCTTGCTGGACTATCATTTGACCCCCTGCTGCACCAGAAACAGGCACTACCACCATCGGTTGATGGTAACCCTGTGCTGCTGCTCCACCGGCGCCTGCTTGCATTGCCTGCACAGGAACAGCCACAGGAACATTACCCGCGGACATTTGGGTCATGACGTAACCACCGGCTGGATAACCATACATCTGCTGGTCTACCTGTAATTATTTCAAATATTACAAAATTACCCTGACATACTGACACATGTATATAAAAGACCCGTCATAAAATGTCAGCAAGTCCACAGCAACAAACCAATGAGTAGTGCCGGATCTCTCAGTTGTAGGCCTGGATCAGTATAATTAAACTTATAATCAATATATATATTTCAGCAAATTACCCAATTTGTTTAAATATATATTTTTCTGTTTTATTCTTTTGTTGACTTCTTCATCACCTTGCCGTAAGGATCAGTTTGACGTTTCATGTTTTTATATACACATGTACTCTAGGTGTGCCATGGGTACAAATTTTTACTATAGTTTTCTTTCGTTATTTTTTAAACTACAGAAAAGGATTTTTTATGGCTGTTGTTACTTTTTTTTCTTGAACATCCAACCCACACGACGTCCTCACTACGCAAACTCGATGCAATAAAATAGTAAAGTACAGTAGAATACTTATGAGAGAAGAATGAAAAATATCTAAAAGGGCAGTAAGTTATATATTCAGGGCCCACTTTCGGTTACAATATAGGGCCTTAACGTAACATTTTATTCCTGATAGTACAAAGATTACATCGACAGCCTCACAGCATGGATGCGCAGCGATAGTCTGACTGGAATTTCTGAGCAATTTTCAAAATGAAACTGCTGACGCCCGACTTACCTGCGGTTGTCCGCAGCAACCGCATGGCTTCATTAAACAGGTACATATTGCTGCCCATATTCCAGCCCCAAATGCAATAATACCCAGGATAAGCATTATGGCGAGAATGGCCATCTTTCCATCATAGCGGTAATAACCTCGTCCATAGCTATAGTCGTAATAGCCGTTATAGGATCCAGAATCGCTCAAAGAAATCATGATACTGTAACAAATGATGATAACTGCACCCATTACAGCTGAGGTGATGGAGAACCCCATGAAAACACTAGCCTGTGATGTGCAAGAAAAACAGGAGAACATTAATCAAAACACATACCAGTGGTGGATCTAGGGGAGGGTTTTGGAGACCGCCCCCCCCCCCCCCCCNAATACAAAGCAACAACAATTACATTTTGTCCATGTGAATTCCAAACTATTATCAGTGATTATTATGTAATCAGTTCAATAAGATAATTTTGTAAATGTACATTGCATTATTCCTTTGAAAACATACAGCTACATATTTAATATTTTAGTCTCTGTCCTTTTGTTTGTAGTATAAGTTGTATACGCCTGTCCATGGATTCGATTAAATTGTTTATTTTAGCTACTGGAAACTGAACAATTGTATCTTTCACTCTTTCTTTGAACTGGGTGAAACTCTCTCGCTCTAATTGTTTTTCAATAGCGCTGTCGTGCAAGTCGTCACTGACTGATTTAAACATGTTCTCTATTGGATTTAGATCAGGACTCCGTGGTGGTATCTTAAGCAACTGTGCGTTTACTCGTTGCAAAGCAATCTTTGCTATTGCTGAGTTCTGACTAGGGTCATTGTCTTGAATGAAGAGTCTTGTGTTTCCTTTCTTTGATTCCACAAACATTTGTTCAAAAGTCTTATCAATGAAAGACGCAAAAAAATTTCCCGTCATATGTTCATATTCTTCGCATAAAATAACTCCTACATTATATGAAATCGCCACTAAAAACTTGACTATCTTTCCTCCAGATCCAACTTTACTCCCTTTCGCTGTGCAATATTGATTGAGACCTTCTGATTTTTTCCGGTAGATCCTTCCAGTAGGAGCTCGTGCTTGATCAAGCGGGTTGGTCTTGTGTGCAAAAGCAACTCCGTCCAAGTAGAAAGCAATTTTTTGTGTCCATAACTCATTGTTGTACTCTTCTCTGACTTTTTTGGCAAATGAAACGCGTAAGTTCTTGTCATTGTTAGTAAGCAGCCCTTTTTTCCGGGCCTGCAGATAAAAGTATCCTTTGCTATTCAAAAATCTTGCCACAGTGCGAACTGACACATTACTTTCCGAGATGTTTGCCTCATTCATTAGTCGCTTGGCAGTAAAGTTACCTTCTGTACGCCTCAATTTGTGTAGAGCCCTTATAAGGAGTCTCTCTTCTCTAGATGACAACTTTCTTGGCCTTCCTCTTCTTTTGTAGGTGACGTTTGCCTGAGTTCGCGAATGCCTTGAAGCACTGTTAGATTCTTTTAACACTCGCATTACTGTTGCTGCAGATCGGCCGACTTTTCCTGCAATTTCTCTCAGTGAATACCTCTTTTCCACGTACAGAAATCTGATGAGCGCTCGTTCTTCAGCCGTTGTTTTCTTATTGTACACCATACTTACTTTCCTCACTTAACTATGTGACTAATCCTGACACTTAACCTTTATGTCTCAGTATAATTCAACTTCTTCTACGCGAGATTCCTGCGCCAGGCTGTACTTATATATCATTTTTTAGACTTATAATAACAGTTCCAGTATTTCTACGGAAAACTAGAAAATCAATGTTTTTCTTTCCTTGCGTCAAACAAAAGTTACAGCAACATTTACCACGCTATCGCAATCTTTCTCGACTATTCACGAAAACTACTTAACAATAACTGCCAACAACTGATATTAACCAGATGGCTTTTCGCAACTCACACAATCCTCGCCAAAAATCCTTGAAACACCCCTTTCCCCTGTGCAAAGTTGAGATGACATTTCAGTGTTTCACTGGCTACAACAACATTGCAAAAGGGAGGGGGACGGAAGTGGTGCGAGAATGTTCAAAGTGTTTCAAGGTTTTTGTCTAAGATTGTAGATATCTCTGTCGGTTAAATGAAATTGAGTTCGTGGGTGCGCGCGTAATATTGATCTTCAAGCGAATCTTTCAACGAGATGTTTTCTGGGCCTTTTTGATACATTTCAAGCTAATCCAATTGCTTTAAACTGGTCAGAACACATTCATTGGGCAGGCGTGTTCTTCCTCCTCGATCGAAGTAGCGAGATACTATTCGAATCGGATTAAATGCGACTTTCTTACCCATATTCCGATCCAAATGCCCAAGTATACATAGCCTGTCCACGACCACCCAACAAGTCGATCGGCAATGCCAAAACCGAGCAGTAAACCCCCTGTAATGATTTGAACGATGGCAAGAATCCTTGCCATTTTAGCGGCGCTTCTCGAGTTGTCTGCCATTTTGAGAGGATTCGATCTATGCAGTGCAGCACGGAAATTGTAGTTTGCATTATATTAGCGTCTTGAAACACGCAAAAAAGAATGCATATCAATTTTCATCACGCAATCTACCATTTCAAAGTCCTCTCGTATAAAATGATCATTTTAAGCCGAAATTGTCCTTTTGTTGTCGTTTTGCGATTAAACGAGAACGGTGAGCCCGTTTTTATATATATTAAGGAGAAAAAATCTGGATAACAGAAGTTGTATTTTTTTTTTCTTTCTTTCTTTTTTTTGCTTATGAATGATTCGAATTTCCGTATTTAGAGCCAAAGAGAAGTCTTTTTCAAGACTGGGATAATTTGGGGCTACTTAACTGAAAAAAATAGGCCCAGGAAAAAACAAACGGGCCCTAAGTTTATAGTGAGATTCAGGATTTTTGCTATAAAATAAGTATTTTTGACGATTGTTTAAGTTTCGAACATTTTGCGCACAACTAGCTAAGGAAAAAAAAACACTCAGAATTACGGGCACACAGGGTGAAAACAAGCACAGTGACCCCATCTTTTTATTGCAGTTTTTGGATGTACTATATATGGCTGACAATTGGGCTAGGTTTGAAAAAAAGCTGGAGACAACATCATTACCAAGGGAATTACCTTAAACTCAGAGCCACGCCACGCAAATTAAAAAGTGAACACCCAATCGGGACTGGAAAGACTACGGGCAGTCTCTCTTTTTTTTTTTCAGTCGGACGAACGAGACGCTAAATCACTAACTGGAAATATAGTACTTTATTGAAGATGAGAATTACATTTTATGTATGAAGGAAATCCGGGAGACATCGACTTTGGTTCGAGTTAGCGAGGTTCGAGTTATCTAGCCTGCGTAGCAAGCGTTTCCGATTGGTTCGGAGCAAAGAAAGACTGAGGGATTTTCGGTTTTGCCCGCGCGAGAAATAAAACGAGACGAGCCAAAAACTGAAATAGGGGGAAGGGGGAGGGGAAGGAAGGAAATTTTACTTGCGCCATTTTTCGCGCGGCTTCGTTCCTCGTTTGGTCCTAAACCGCACGGAAACGCTAGTACGCAGGCTACGAGTTAGCGGGAGTCAACTGCATAAATGTATAAGAGAGAACCTTACATGCGGTTAAATTTTCAGACCTCGCTGTCCCAAAATGACTAAAATGTACACCTAAAATGTACAACTAGCTGGAGAATCAACAAAAAGAATGATGTCTACCTCTACTCAACGATGGAACTAATTCAAGGAATGTAAATAACCCAAGCTCGGAGAGAATTGTTTTTGGATAAAAGTATCTCTAAGTCTAACTCTGAGTTACCCATCTCAAGTTTTGGGGTTGGACGGTCTCTTTTAAGGTTATCTTATGGCTCATTTTCATTAGATGAATCATCAAGTCAGAAGCCTATTTAGCTCAACGTTAAAAATAAATGGGGCAAGCCAGTTCTTAACCGTTGCCTGTAAAGCTCGTAGCTAAGAATCAGTAGAGTGGCAATGAACGTTTACGGCAATATTTATCGAATATTAAGCTTGAATGTGTAAGGTAGTTCCCATTCTTTATGTGTGGTGTGGTTATTTTACCGCTGCTAACGGTCATTTATTATTCATTCAAAATATTTCCCCGATTCTGATTGGCTAAAAGCACAATTTTAATTCACCATAACCAGTTACTGATGACCAAATTTGGAAAAAAATTTGTGTTTAGCGACGAAATGACGTCAAAAATGCAGCGTTCTTGCAGGTTAATGCACCGTTAAACGAGAAGACCTGGGAACGAGGTTGAGTTGGTTGTGAACTTGAAAAATGGCGGACATTTCACTCGTTTCAAGAGTACGAACTAGGTGAAAAAATAGCTTAAAAAATGGCAAGAACAGCAAAAAGACAACTCCAAGAGCGACATCTGCTATTTGGAGAATATTTGCGGAGCTGAACAACCCTGAACGTGCACTATCGAAGATGAACTTAATATCGATGGATCGATGGAGGTAAGCATGTTTTAGCCACGTTTTTAAACTAGGAATTATTTTAAATGAGTAATAAAACAATTATTGAGTTCGGCTTTCGTGTCATGTGAAGAATTATGGAGATCTCGGAGAGTGTTATCCGCCTCGGCCAACGGCTTCGACCGATAACACCCAGTCCTCGATCTCCATAATTCTTCCGTAAGATACTCAGCCTCATTCATTAATTGTTTTAAAATATTCGACGCCTGCAGGACGCCTGTCTTCATGCTTGTTAAAAAACGTTGGGTCGATTTTCGAGATTCCAAGAACCAAAACATTAAAATTCGAGACTCCGATCCGATAAGATACGAATCAATTTTTAGCGAGCCCGAGATTCCGAGACTTCAAATGCCAAAATTTTCCGAGACCCACGTTTTTCTA